GGACCTTCTCGTAGGTCCTCGGCGGCTTTCCAGCCCCGGGATGCGTTCCAGTGGAAGCGCCTCCCCAGAGATCCGACGTCGTGATTTTTTCAATGCGGGGTCCCTGGAGGTCTCGACCCATTCATTCCCCAGGACCGGTTTTTCATCCTGATTCGTTTTTTGACGGTCCTGGGGCCCGGCGAGGGCCTCTAGAGGTCGAAAATTACGAAAAACCTGCGTCTTGATTTTTTCAATACGTTGGATCTCTTGGTCGCCGAGAACGTTCGGGGGGTGCCCGGATCGTCCCGAGAGGCCGCCGGAGACACGAGATATGACCCAAAAGCCACCTTCGAGGGCGAGCGAGGGGGTGAAACGAAGAGGCGAGGGCCCCCTGCCCCCTGGTCTACAGGGCGTGGCCCCACCGCTGTGGCCTGCCAGCACTGCTTGAGCCAGCCCCTTTACCAAACCAGCCAATTCAGTTTGGAAACGCGCATGGCCGCTAGCATCGTCGCCTGGTCTTCTTTTTCTCTGCGCCATTTTGCCACGCCTGACTGCTGTACTGGAGCAAGTCAGGTTTCCTTTGGGCTGGGCGACTTGAGCGGGTGGAAGGAACTCGGAGGCACCGCACCTTGGGTCTCTGTGTGCAGGCCCTCCCTGCTCAGGGACCCTGTACCACCCAAGGAGCCACACTTCAACGCCCTCACTAGAAGTCAAAAAAATCTCCCCCCCCATCATAAACCACCCCGACAAGCGAGGCCGTTTAGTAAACGCACCCAAGGAAGGAATCGAACAAGGCAGGGCTCTCAGTAAACGCCAATTGTCCAGCCTGGGTTGTTCCCTACCTAGGCTCTGCCTAGAAGGGCTCTTACTCTCTGGGCTTAAGGGGCCGGGCAGTGGAAAGCGCCCCGGGAGGTTCCCCCAGTATCCGCCCCGCGGTTCCCCCAGTTACGTCCCCTTAGCTTAGCGTTGCTTATCTCATCTTAGCTTAGTTTATTTCATCTTAGCTTAGCTTAGCTTCATCTTAGCTCAGGTTTATCTTAGCTTAGCAGAGCAGAGCAGAGCAGAGCATAGCGTAGCATCGCGCAGCACAGCATATCATAGCATAGCCCAGCATAGCATAGCATAGCGCAGCAAAGCATAGCATAGCATAGCGCAGCACAGCACAGTACAACATAGCACAGCACATGGATGTAATTTCCTACCTAAGCTCTGCCTAGAGGGACTGCTTAGCTTATCTTAGCTTAGCTAAGCGTAGCTAAGCTTAGCATAGCGCAGCGCTGCATCAGCATAGCATAGCATAGCATAACATAGCCAAGCATAGCCAAGCATAGCATGTCATGGCATAGCGCAGTATGGCATATCATAGCATATCATATCGTAGCATAGCGTAGCGCAGCTTAGCATAGCATAGCATAGCATATCATAGCTTAGCATAGCACAGCGCAGCACGACATATCATAGCTTAGCATATCATAGCAGAGCATATCATACATCATACCGCAACATAGCATAGCATAGCATAGCATAACATAACATAGCATAGCATAGCGCAGCATGACATGGCATATCATAGCATAGTATAGCAACTAATGCTGCTTTCCTAGGGGCTCCAACTTCTAGGTAGGGTCGCACTGGGATATTTCTTGTTCCCTTGACTCACCTTCTGGCAACATCTTGCTCTTTCCAGCCTGACTGATGTCTAGTGCAAACTGCCATGTTGGCACGTCGGTAGGGGAAGAGCCCCATGGCTCTTCCAACTGTGGACGTTCGACAGCTCCGCCTTGCTGCACACCGCCATCGTCGCTCTGATCTGGTTGCCCCGCTGTGCAACCTTACGTCGCCTGCTCTGGTTTCTCTTGTCGCACTCACGCACCGGTTACTGCTCGCCGTGCTTAACTTTGGCGGGTGGGGTCAGAGATGTGGAGGGGTGGGGTACCAGCGTGACACCAGGCATTGCAGCGCTACTTCTTGCTTTACGGCCACCTGCGCTCACCACTGCGATACGACGACGCCACGATGCAGGCGGCAGACTGCTGCACGTGCACCTCGCTCCCTCATCGTTCGGTTCGCTCCTCGATTCTTGTGATCGTTTGACTGTGGTATTCGCTTCTGCCCTCGCTCTCTACTTCACCGCCTGGCTGGCGCATACTCTATGCCCTTGCGGGCTCACCATGTGTTGCTTCGCCCTTGAATTCCGCTGCGCCAGCATAGCGTAATGTGTTTGTCTATGGCCTAAATCGGCCCCTTCACTTTTTCCTGGCTGCCAGATGCAACGATCACTCGATCGAGGTCCGTGCAACGTCCGACAAAGAAGAGGAGGAAGAAGAGGAGGAGGAGGAGGAGGAGGAGGAGGAGCAGACACTGAAAAGTCAATGGCAAAATCAGAAAGGGGAGGATCACGAGCAAGAGCACGGGAAACGGGGCCACCGTCGCCCAGGACAAGGATGGGCCCCCGTTCACTCGCATGGCCTCCACTGGGAATGCCCGCAAGACCGCGCAGAGACACTTGGGGGGGGGGGGGGGAAGCGGAGAGGGGCGCGGGGGGGGAGGGGGGAGGGGGGCGCGGGGGAGGGGGGGGGCAGGGAGCCAACTCATGGAAGAGTGCAGCTCCCAAGGGGGCATGCCTGCCGGGAGGTCTGCCCCTCTGCGCCGCCCCCGCCACGTGCCACGTGGCCGTCCGGCCCCGCCCCGCGCGAGACGGGGCGCCTCCCCCGCAAACGCCCGCACGAGCTCCATGGCCACCTGGCGCCGCGCCGGGCGCGGGCCTCTCGCGCGACGGTGGCCGAGGGCTCGGGACGCGAAGGAAGGGGGCCCTGGGACACACCAGTAGATGCACACAAACCAAAAGAGTCCCCATATGTTCCCAGATTTTCTGGGTTTTTGTCTTCCCCCCCACTCCCCATATTTTCCCATATTTTCGGAAGAATCGAAGATTCATTGTGTCTGTGTGTGTTTTTCCCTCCTGAGCGATTGTCCACTGCAGGGCTGCAAGTGATGCAGCAGGAGCGGGCGGAGGCAGTGGCGGGCATGCCCGTCTGCGTCCCGTCGCGCCCCGCCTGTCCTGGACTGGGGGCACGAGAAATGGCATAAGCTCGGAGGTCCGCGCGGACTTCTCGGATCGGCGCTGGGGCCCCCCGGCGGCGCCTCCAGCGCCGCCCCTGGCGCGCTCCGCGCGCCAGGGAGGGGGGTCCAGCCCGGAGCCAAGAAATCCGCGCGGACCTCCGAGTTTTTTCATGTAATGTTTCGTTTCCCTAGTCCTTGGCAGGCGGGGCGCGACGGGACGCAGAAGGACATGCCGAAGGCGAACCGACGTGGTATACACGGTGCGGCCAGGTGCCTCAGACTCACTGGAGACTTGTTCAGAAGGGAGCGTGCGCGAGTCAAGGAAGCGCGGTGGACCCGCCCCTCCACACCCCTTTGTCCTCAATCTCGTCCTCCTCCACCCCAGCCTTCGTTGCTCCCTGGCCCCATCCATCTCCTTCTCTCCCACCTCCATTCCTCTCCCACTCCTCTTCCCCAATCCTTCTCGCCATCTTCACCCCCCCGTACCACCACATTGCCACTGCACTGGATAAGAAAACGCTGGGCGAGGACGAAGATGAAGTGCCGTTACGTATAACCTAACACACCCTACTAGGAATATGTAGCTGCCCCAACTCCATCGTCAAGAACACAAGTCTCGATGTGGACACTTGGCTCGTGAACGGTAGCGCGCGTTCAGCTCGCTGCTTGGCGGTGCAGGTGATGGGACACGAGGTTGCGAAACTCCAAGTGCTGCGGGCATTCCAGCTCAAGGGGCTTTATAACACCACTGAATGTACTGACCACTATCACATAAGACACTTCACCATTCACTCGCTTGCGACTCGTTTAGCGTCTTCGATGCTCGATTAATGAGCTGCTTTCGCCACGAAGCGCTTCGATCCATCGAGGGTAACACCAGACGGTTGACCATCGCCTGTGAATGCAACCCTGAATGGCTGAGCGGGATCCAATAGGAGGAACCATTGGCCACGCAACTCGCTCAAACGTCAGGCAAGCCTGCAGCTACACTCACACCTACTCAAAAACATCGCGAACGAATTGTCGGACTCCACGCGAACGAAGCAGGCCAGCAATGAGCTGCCGTTTCAAGATGCTGTGCAACTTCTGTTGGGATTTCAGTCCCGCGATCACTTTGCCCATTACCCCCACCAGCGCACCATTACGCGGGTCTATGCTCCCCCTTCCCTGGGCAAGTGAGTCCACCATCTGCCACCCAAACTCTAGGACCATGTTGGCGCATGAGGTAATTAGCATGGAACTTCTCCTTCTTTACCCACCTTCCCGCCTGTCCCTCCGCCTTCGTCCCGCAACGCGGGTCTCCTACGACAGGTCCATGTCGTGACGGCTATGGCGCTGGTTTCGGACACTGCGTGAATTGTCCAATCTTGAAGGATCGGGGCTCTCCGAAAGCGCAGACCGTTCAATGTTGGACGAATGACTGCTGGCGGCCTTCAACTTTGAACGCCCACGGTGCGGTCGTCGTCGAGTCGACACGACACGAACCGACCATAAGCGATAACAATCGTCCGCGTGCGTTATGGGTCACACGAAAAAGTAGCGGCCGGACCGAGACCGGATGGGTGCAGAAGCGGAGGTCGGACAAGAGGGCGGGGGCTCCTGCAGCTTCAGGTAGGAGCGCGGCGATCCTCCTGAGCAGCACGGGGATACGAGATGCAGTTCTTCTCTCGGAATGTGCAGAAGTCCTGAACCAGAAGTCTGGAACCCTACATGGTAGGCGTCTCTGCGAGGCCCCAATGCTTGGACCTATCTTGAATTCAACTGCATCGTTCGAGTACTAGTGTTCATAATGATTACATGGGATTTAGATTTACTCTGGACGAGGATGTGACCTGAGCTGAACAATGTCTGAATGAAACGGGTCCTGGATCTCGGGATTCTCCCCGTGATCCACTGTACATTTAACGAACCACTCTGTTTTACTGCCCCGGGGCCCGAGAAACGACCAGTGATCCCGAAGTGTGCCGTAAGCCTCATGGACACTGTTCCGGGAGGATCCTGCTGTTTCACGCGAAGGCTCTGGCGCTTCGACTTTGTTTGGGGGGAGGAGGATGAAGGAGCTCGACCACAAAACCTTACCCGAATCGGCTCGACGGCTGTGCGAATCAGAAGGTCACCAGGGAAACCGTGAACACCACAAGAGCCGACCAACGATAGGTACACAACCTCGAGCCCTCGAGCAGTGAACCGTGGCCTAGAAGAGGAACGAACGTGCAACATAGAAGGCTCCAGCGCTCCGACTACACCATGCTGCTTCTCGGGAGTGGCTAAGAGGGGGGTGTCCAAGAGGGGGGGGTGCAAATCATGACTGGCGGCATGTGCGCGGCCCAGCGGGGGGGCCACGGACGTAATGAAATAAGAAGAGGCGCCATAAAATCTCAGGAAACATCCTGGCCCCCGCCATGATATCCACCCCCCCTAGTCATCACCCCCCTCTTTGCCGCCCCCGAGCTTCAGAGCCACTTCTTGTCCGGACATCGCGCGCCTCGGCGCGCAGCGTGGCCGGGGCGGCTCCTCGGCTCGGGTGCCCTCTGAGGCAGAGCCGGCGGTAGGCCAGGGACACCTCGCGGGTGGGCGCCCTGCACCCTGCTTCTGCGGATGCTGGCGGGCAACACGCGATCGTCTGTGAGATTCGCCTCCTCCCTTGGGAGGCTCACCGCCGCGGGGTGGGGCTCCGAATTGAAGACGAGCATGCGCGGTCCTGACCCGTAACGATCGAGTGGGGGAACCGCTGCAGGAACAAACTCGCCAGGAAGCTGAAACACGCACATCCATGAAGCAGGTGGCTCTCGCATACACGATCGTAACATGTATATGTATACATATACATGTATTCTTGCACATGCATGTTAACTGTTAGCCAACGTGCACCCCTGACAAACTGTTTATTGCAATCCACAATGCATGCTGTGCAATCTCCGTGGGGCAGCCGTCGTGGTGCAATCTATGTGGTGCAACTTCTGGTGTGCAATATCTGTTGTGTAATCTATGTTGCGCCGTGTACGCGGTGTGCAACCCGTGCGGAGCATTGAACGAAACTCATTACATGTGGTGGAATCTGCGTTTGCGATTTATGTCGGGCAACCGATGTGGTGCTACAGCGCGGAGCAATCTAAGTTGTGCAACAAATATTTGTTTGCACTGAGCTGTCGATCCCCTTACTCGCGCAATTACCCCACCAACCCACCAACAACTTGCTTTGCAAGACACATATGGAGCCGACTGCGATGATGCTTGGCGTTGGCTGGCCGCGATAACCCGCGCATGCTCGCGCGCGCAACGGCCAGCCAGTTTGGCGCGACCGACGCGGCCGCGGTGGCGCTGACCACTGGGCAGTTCACAGCGGGCACTGCAGAAAGGAGTCGGCCACTTGGGCGGGCGCATTACCATTGCAACCTCGACAAACGGTGAAAACGATTCTGGTACTAGCGATGCTGGTGACGATGATGACAACGACAATGGCACGGCCAGTGACGGTGCCGATGCTGATCACGCCGACGACGATGACGGCGACCTCGCATCTGTGATACAGGTTTTGGAGAAAAAAATCGACATGCGCGCGCGACCGACGCGTGAGAGTGGCCCGCATGATATGATGTGATATGGATCGTGCCCCCCCCCCAGGGGCCTCCCCCCCAGCACGCGCGCAAGGGCCTTCGAAAGTTTGGCAGAGTTTGAAGAACATGCTGACACATCTGCGGTTTTCTGAAGAATTCGCAGGAGCGCCAGCGCATGCATTTTTGAAAACTGATGTTGCGAACTCATGTATGTGTTTTGGAATGTTTTCGGGGCAAACGACTTTGAAATCTTTACGAAACGCAGAATTCTTGGAGGAATTTCGCATGCGCGCGACGACGCGCGCGCACTTCGCCCCATTTGTTGAGAAAAAACGAGTTCTTGCGACAGCACGCGCGCGAGGGCGTTCGAGCGATTCCAACATGCGCACGCGAGAGCACGTGGTGAACATGTTGATTCACCGGTGGTCGACTTACGAATCTGCAAGGGCGCGAGCGCAGGCTTCCTTATCATACTTCTATGTTGCCATGCTTTGCTGTAACATCTTCTCTCGAAGCACTATGTTTCTATGTGTGTTCGGGATGCTCGATTCTAAAAATCCGTACGGGAACTTGAAATTTTTATGACGATTTCGGCATGCGCGCGCGACGACGCGCGGGTGTGCACCTCGTCCCGTTTTGCTGCTGGGGTGTCCTGAAAACTAGTGATTTGTATAAACGAGCGAAACCGCATAATATTCTTGGAAGTGGATGAGGGGAGAATGCCGGCCTGGCTGGGATGGTATGAGTTCATAACTGGGATGGGCGACGAAACAGAATCGCACGAAAATGGCAAGATGAAAACGGGGACCATTAAGTCCAGGGGGGGGGAGAAGTAGATCCTAGTATTCCTGTAGAACAAAGATCCGACATAACGCAATCTAGTTGGTGCGGTCGATGGGTGCAGTTCACGCGCGGGACTCGCACTTGTCAGCTCCACGACTTGCGCAATCATCCCACCCACCCACCCGCAACTTGTTTTGCAAAAACCCTGCGGGAGCGATTGCGAGTGCTTGGCGCTGACTGGTGCACCTCTGCGGCCACGCTAGCCCGCGCATGCTCGCGCGCGCAGCGGCCAGCTAGTTTGGCGCGGCCGACGCGGTCGCGGTGGCGCTGGCCTCTGGGCACTTCCGAGCGGGCACTTCAGTGCGAGTCGGCCACTTGGGCGGGTGCGGTACCATGGCGACATCGACAACGGTAGACTCGATGATGATAGTAGCGACGCTGGTGACGATGCTGGGAAAGGCGACGGCACGGCCAGTGACGGCGCCGATGCTGATCACGCCGGCGACGATGAGGGCGTCCTCGCATCGGTGATGAGGGTTTTGGAAGGACTTCGACATGCGCGCGCCGCCGGCGCGAAAGAGTGGTTCGCATGGCTTTATTTGACAGGGGCCGTGCCCCCCTCAGCACGCGCGCAATGGCGTTCGAATCATGTCGACATGCGGCGCGAGAGGCATGCTTGCTCGATGTTGATGAACGTGTTGAAAAACCGATGGTTTCCTGCGAATTCGTTTGGACCCGCGCGCAGACTTGTTTTTGAACAGTGATGTTACAAAACCGTATGATTTTTCCCCAACCATCCTGCGGTGTTGGGGCCTCGTTTTGGGGAGACAATGCCCCGCGTGCCTTCTGTCCTTCCTTCCTTGCTTTCCTTCTCCCCCTCCTTCCTCCTCCTATCCTCCCGCTGCCCTCCCCTTCCTCCCACCCCTGCCATCCGCAAGTCCTCACCTTCACCCATCATCATCAACATCATCATCATCACCATCATCAGCAGCATCGTCACTATCACCATCACCAGCAGCATCATCATCATCACCGCCACCATCATCATTAATCATCATCAGCAGCATCGTCATCATCAGAATTGTCATCACCAGGATCATCATCATCACCACCATCACCACCATCATCATCACTATCATCCATAACCATCATCATCATCATGATAATGACCATCATGACCATCATCATAATCATCATAATCATCATTATCATCTTCGCCATCGTCTTCACCCACAGTATCACCATCGCCATCGTCACCATCGTGCCTCTGCTGTCCGCATGTGCGCAATTTCTGCACACCGCTCATACGGTTCGTGGCCGCATCACCAAAAACCAGAAAGGCTGCGTTCACACGCGTCCCGCGCCCATTTCGGCATTCCCCTCACGTGGTCCGTGGCCCCAGAAGGGGGCCACATCGAAGGCCGCAATGGCTGACCATATGCGTCCCGCGCCCATGCCAGCACACCCCTCACGCGTTTCGCGGCCCCGTGGCGAGGTCCACCAAAGGCCTCACTGGCTGCGACCACATGCGCCCCCGCCACCCATTACGGCACACCCATCACAAGTTTCGTGGCACCATAGATGGGGAGCCGCATCGAAAGCCCCAATGGCTGCGCCCACACGGGTACCGTGCCCATTGCGGCACACCCCTCACACGCTTCGTCGCCCGACAGGGAGCTCCACCGAACGCCCCAATGGCTGCGCCCACATGTGTCCCGCGTCCATTTCGGCACACCCGTCACTCGCTTCGTGGACCCATAAGGGGGCCCTCCGGAGACCCCAATGTCTGTGACCACATGCGTCCCGCGCCCATGTCGGCACACCGCTGCCACGTTTCGTGGCATGGAGAGCTCCACCGAAGGCCTCAGTGGCTGCGACCACATGCGTCCCCGCTTATTCCGGCACCCCGCTCGCACGTTTCGTGGCCCCTCAGGAACTCCACCGAAGGCCACGCTGGCTGCGTCCACGTGCGTCCCGCGCCCATGCCATGCCGGCACACCCCTCACATGTTTCGTGACACCAGAGGGAGCTCCACCGTAGGCCTCGATGACCGCGTTCACATGTGCCACGCGCCCATTGCGGCAAACGCCTCACACGTTTCGTGACCCCAGAGGAAGCTCCACCGAAGAACCTTGTGGCTATGACCACATGCGCCTCCGCCACCCATTACGGTGCACTCCTCACCCAGTGCGCGGCCCCATAGGGAGCTCTACCGAAAGGCCCCAGTGGCCGTGACCAGATGCGTCCCGCGCCCATGCCATGCCGGCACACCGCTCACGCGTTCCGCGGCCCCATAGGAAGCTCCACCGAAGGCCCCAGTCGCTGTGACGCATGCGTCCCCGCCACCAAAGGAGCTCCACCGAAGACCCTTGTGGCTGTGACCTCACGCGTCCCCGCCACCCATTACGGTGCACCCCTCACCCAGCTCGTGGCCCCTTGGGGAGCTTCACCGAAGGCCTTAATGGCTGCGACCGCATGCGTCCCCGCCACCCATTTCGGCACACCCCTCGCACGCTTCTTGGCCCCAGAAGGAGCTCCACCCAAGAGGATACGCACCACTGCGGTATTCATAACTGCATAGTTGGGTCCTTCGCCCAGATAATTGTATGTTTCGGAAACGAAGCAAGAATTCCTATGTGCAACCACTGTTTGGGGAATTTGCGCAGACAATCATATCCTTCTAGCCCAGGCGCCGCACTCCTGTGCCCCAAGCGACGATAAGATAACGCTGCAACTCCAGACCATGGGGTGACCATTGAAGCTTGGGATCTGGTTGGGTATTGGAAGCTTGTTCTTGTGAAGTAGGAGCTGAGCATGACTCCGATGACTGGCAAAACCATCATGGCAGGAACTTCGACCCACCAGCCCATGCTGTTTCTCTATCCTCTCTCGGCTCCGTCATGGTCAGTCCCACGGGGCAGCACAACCTGAGTGCGAACAGAAAGATAAGGGAACAACTGAACAAATGCAGCACCTCCTCAGCGACAAAATTGGACCAGTCGCCTTCAGCACGAGCCTTCAGAAGCCGGATGCTGCAAGATGGAAACTCAAATACAGCGCGTGTCATCGTGCCAAACATGCAATAGCTCACACGCCACACATGATCACGCACATGCAACGAGTTCCCAAGGAGGCTGTCCAAATGACCTTGTGAAGCAGAAGGCAGGATTGAACACGTGGGCGCTAGAGGATGACATGGTCTAGGCCGATGCTGCCTCCCTTGAGCGGGGGAGCATACGGCTTAAGGCATCGCAGCGTCCCGGCGGCGATTTGTCAGCGTGGAGTATGCAGCAGCGCGCGTTTCGGCACCTCGTCCCTTCCGGCCGGCACATCTCCAAGCCACATGAACTGAACGAAAGGGACCGGAGGACGAGACCCGGCCAGGACCGGGCAACCATCGGACTGGGACACGCTGGGGATCTCCGAGGCCCGCCAATTCAGGGGTGTGCCTCGGGCGCCGCGGCCGCTCCAGGGCGCTCCCAGACGCTCCGAGGACGTTCCAGATCGATTATGATACTCCGGTCGCAGCCCCGCCCGAGAAGAGGGGGAGGGAGGAGGAGGAGGAGGAGGAGGAGGAGCAGTGAGGAGGGGCAGGAGGCGAAGGGGGAGACACAGAGAGGCGCCGATTCCCAGGACACATGTTGGAAATTCTGGGAAAGGGGTGGGGGAAGACGAGAACGCAGAACAGATGGAAACACTTGTTTTGGTCTGCGGGTCGAGAGCGAGCCTCTTCCGGTTAAAAGCTAGGCGGGCTACGCAAAGCTCGAATTGGGGAGACAGAGCACAGAGCATATGGAAACACATGAGAGTCCGGGAGAAAAAAGAACGATGCGCTGCAGTCGCTGCCCCGGGGGGCGCGCCTGCCAGGGGGGCCGCGTGCTGCTGCCTCGGTGCGCTCGCTGTTCGAGCCACCGCAGGTGGAGAGGGGTGCGGCGAGGCCGCGGGCCCAAGAGGCCCACATCTCCATGGGGGCCCAGGGACACACAGAGACATAGACACACATCCCAGGACTCCCCATAGTTTTCCATTTCTCAGGGTTTTCGTCTTCCCCCCACGTCCCAAATGTTCCCCGATTGTCATGGGGGAATCGACGATGCATGGCGTCTGTGTGTTGCTTCCTCCTGATAAGTTGTTGTGTGATCTTAATTTCGACGCGCCGGTCGCAAGATTGTTCAGGATGGCCAAAGGAGCCCGCCATTCCAGCCCAAGGGGGCCCCTGCGAGAGGCCAGATACTCCCCCGAAGAAGGCCCCAAGAGCGGCCTCAAAAGCCCGAAATCGTGGAGCCGCTGGAAGCCAAAACCTCCAAAGCCCTCCAACACGACCCCCAAACCCCGAAGAGGCCCACAGTGGACACCAAGAGTCGACAAGACCCAGGACGCACCTAGGTGGAAACACGCATGCCCCAAGGAGCCCCCCAAGAAGCTGACGAAGAGCCTCCAATCTTCCCCCGAGGCCCTCCTCCTCCTCCTCCTGCTCCTCCTCCTCCTCCTCCTCCTCCTCCTCCTCCTCCTCCTCCTCTCCTCCTCCCCCTCTCCTCCTCCCCCCTCCCCCTCCTCCTCCTCCTCCTCCTCCTCCTCCTCCTCCTCCTCCCCCCTCCTCCCTCTGGAACACAACCCGGGGGGATGCGCAACGCCCTTCGGGCTCGGAGAACTGGCCCTGGGCACGGCCGCCCACGCCGTGCACGCCAGTTGCGGGATGGGAGATCCAAACGACCCCAAAGAAGGGAGGAGGCAGATGCGCAGGGAGGAGGAGGATGATGAGGAGGAGGAGGCGGAGGAAGAGAATAAGGAAAAAAGAGGAAGAGAAGGAGGAGGCCATTCGATTCTCGCCCTCGCATCAAGCGCCTCAAAGCCGCCACTACCCGTTTGCTCCTCTCCCCCGTTCCGCTCCTCGCGCTCGAGCCCTTCACTCCTCGGAGCCTCGGAGCCCGGAGGAGCCGGCCGTCGACCTCTGCAACATCAGAGGAGACCGACTCCTGTGAACGCTGCTCCTCCTCCTCCTCCTCATCCTCCTCCTCCTGGAACCACTTTTACCCCCATCCCGCAAATCCTCTTCCCCTTCTCTCCGGAACTGGGACCCCCCTCACCCTGGCCTTCGGTCGGGCCTCTCCCCCTGCCGGCGGATCTTGGACGAAAGATAACAAGTAGTCAAAACAGATCCCAAAAACAGAGAACAAAATCGTCCCCAGACTATCTTTAACTACTTTGGAACGTTCTCCCTGTAGAGGGACATGCCCGACTAATTATAGCCCTGGCCCCAAAAAGCCCCGGGGGCGCTCGACCCTCCCCCTCCCCGCAGCGCCGGCACACGACGGCGGCGTGTCCCGCGGGCCCGCCCGCCAGACTCGCCCACGACAACGACGACGACGACGGCGATGACGGCGACGACGGCGAGGCATGAAATGCAACCCTGGCTGGCTGATGGGGCAAGGTGGGTTGCAATGAATGCCCTGCCAACCCGCCCGAGTGAACGTGTCCAGGCCGTCGCCGCCGCCGCCGCTGTCGTCCTTGTCGTCGTCGTCGTCGTCGTCGTCGTCGTCGTCGTTTGCTGGCCTGTCTTGTTTTGAGAGGGGGCGGTCGCAACCGACCTCCGACCCCTCCGGGCGTACACAGAAGGCGCTCATTCGGCATTACAGGCAAGACCACTTGGCCTGTCTGCTTGAGATCGAGATCTCATGGTAAGCGGCAACCTGGAAGCCTGGCTACCGCCGTATGGAGTACGTGGGCTGGACGTTGGCCAAGCGTGCGGCGCCAGCTCCGGTAGGCCTCCAAGGGGCTCCCGAACAACCCCTTGCTTGCAGTGGTTGCGGGCTGTGCTCGCTGATCCGTTATGTGGCTCGACCTGGGCCGCCCTGGTGATCATCTTCTTCCCTTCTCACGCCAACTCGCCCAAGGAACGCTACCAGATGGGCTGGAGACGGTATGCGAAGCGTCCAGACTCGAAACATGTCCCAGCGGCAAGGGCTCGTAACATTGTTCAACCCCCTCCTCCTACTCCGCATCTTCCTGGCACTGCTCCTCCCCCCGCCCCGTACTCCTCAATCTGCCTCCTCCTCCTCCCTCTTTCTAAGCTTCCTTCCTGCTCCGACTCCCACTCATCCTTGTCCTCCTCCTCCTCTTTCCACTCCTCCTTCTCTTCCCCCTTCTCCCAGAGTGCCCTAGAGATGCTCAGGAGCAGCTGCCACCCTCCCACGGCAGGAGGAGGTGGAAGGGCGTGTCCACGAGGAGATGAGAGAGAGGTGGATTCTGTGGAAGGTGGAGCGTTGAAGGAGCGAGGAGGGTGGAGGAAGGAGATGACGTGGAGGATGAGAGGGTATGCGCGGGGAGGTTGAAGGGACTGGAGGGGGGGTGGGGGAACGCCTTCACACAGAGATTGTGCAGCACAGCGCGCGTACAAGCAAGAGGCACGACAATCGCTGCAAGTCCTCCACTTACGCCTCCTCGTCGTCCTCCACGTCCTCCTCCTCCTCCTCCTCCTCCTCCTCCTATCCAGCGAGCCGCTGCGTCAGGAACGGAGCGCGGGTCACTGAATGGGCAGCAAGAATAGATCAAGCAATTCGTGAAGAATATAAGCAAGCGTTCTTCGAAGTAGTAAAGAGGAGCCCGCACGAGCCTTGAATCCCAGAAGAGCGAACGCCTGAGGGCAATCATCGAAACAATCTAGCAGGTAACGATATCTGTGCCCGCATGTCTCTCGGATCACGCAAATGCGAATCATGGCTCCGAACTTTCTCTGCCCCTCACCTCGTCTATCCCTCTGTGCCCCCTCCCTGCATATAGCAACTACCCCCTGGGCTGCCTTCGCATTCTCCGTGCCAACATGGATGTCCCACCGCGCTCCGGGATCTCCATCGAAAAATGCCAGCGTGCATGCGATTGCCATGTTGGTTGCGCCATGGGCCGAAAAACTTATGCCGCCACCAGGCCTTCAACACTCTGAACATTGGTCCTAAAGATGCCCCAGTCCCAGTCGTTCAATGGTCCTAACAATGGTACTGCACAATGGTCCTAAAAATGGTCCCGAATAGCGTTCCCTGCCCCAGTCCCTCCGCAGCTGCCCCCCCCCCCACCTCGCTGGACGAGCGCGCCCCCTCCCCCGGCCATCGCTCGGACGCCCATTCCCCGTGCATGCTTCGCTGTCGTGGGTTTGTGCTTCTTCGCAAGACGAACCAAGATGCTCCTCGATGGTCCTCGCCGAGAGAAAATGCACACGTCCGAGCGAAGCCAAAATCCACCCCGTACGTCCTGCATCCTCCTCCTCCCTCTTCGCTCACCCTCCCCCCGCATTCCTCCTCAGCCATTCCCGTCCCCTCGCCCCCTCGTCGTTCCTCCATCCACCTCCCTCCGCTCTCCCTTCCTCCTCCCCCACCCTCCCCTCCCATCGCTCCCTCATTCCGCAGTTGTCCGCTCTCACGGGTGCCTCCCCCGCTTGTCGCGTCTGTGTCATCTTCCGTCGTTCTTGTCCCCACTCCCTGTTGCTGTTGCTGCTGCTGCTGCTGCTGCTGTTGCTGCCTGCTGCTGCTGCTGCTGCTGCTGCTGCTGCTGCTGCTGCTGCTGCTGCTGCTGCTGCTCCCCCGCCCGTTTCGAAGGACGTAGTGCGGCGTTGCTCTTTGCACGCCGCCAGGTTCTGACGCGTCCGCCACCGCCACTGTCGCTGTCGCCAGAATCGGTGGCCCTGACAAAGGAGGTTGCGGCGGAGTGCAGATGCCGAAGCGCGCCCCGAATTCAGCAATGCGTGAGGGTGCAAGTCCGGCTTGTCTGGCTGCTGCTGCGGGGGGGGGGGCTGTGCTCAGGGGGAGCTACAATACCGCTCAACGATGTACTGCTAACCGTAGCAGCCCTGACAAGCGACACGCGATACGCAGCGTGTTGACACGGAACCCAACACGTAGAGCGGAAACGTAGGTCTGGCGCAATACGTCAGCCAACACGTGGACCAACACTTGCCGAGCCAACGCGCAACGTGTCAAAAAGGACGGTTTGAGCACGGCACGTGTTGCTTTTGAACACGGGCGTGTCAGGGCAGCTAGGCCGATAACCGAGCCTGCAGGTTGGGCCCTTTCTCTTTCTGTGCTCCCAGCTTTGGCTCCGGCTTCAGCTGTGGTGCACTTCGAGGCGCCCTCGGGTCAGCTCACCCAGTCCAGTTTTCCTCCGCTCGCAAGGGTGCCCCCCCCCCTCCCTCCCCTCCCCCTCTTCCTTTCTCGTCTCCTTCCTCCCCTCCCCTCCCCTCCCCATCCCCTCTCCCTCCCCTCCCCCACCTCCCCTTCCCCCCCTGCCCCTCTCCCATCCCCCCCCCCTCCCCTTCTTCCCTTCTCGCCTCCGTGCTCCTCCTCCCGCCCTCGCCCTCATCGCCGGGTCCCCCCCCCCTCATCGCGTTGCCCGCGGCCTGGGCTGAGCCCGCCCCGCGCGAATCGCGCGCCCCCCGGTGCCGGGCGCGAGCCGGCCTCGCGGATGGCGTCCGCAGGCTGCTTCTGGAACACCTGTGGGGGGCGCTCCCAGCCTTCTCCTCGTAGCTCGCGCCTCCGCCCCTCAGCCCTTCCTGCTCCTGCTCAGGCTCGCCCCCATCCTCCTCTCTCGCCTCTCTCTGTCTCTCTCTCTTTCTCTCTCTCTGACCCTTTCTCTTTTGTTCACCAGGTCGGTGAATGTTGGCACATGTATTTCTATACATATACACCTCTCGCCGTGTATCTGTTTTGTGTTATCCTGTATTCCCTTCTCTTTTCCCTTTTCTCTCTCTCTCTCTCTCTATATGTGGATCCTTCTCTCTCTCTCTTTCTTCTCTCTCCTCTCATCTCCTCTTCTCTCCTATAGCCTCTCTATCTCTCTAGTATTAAATGTTTGATGTTTGTGTTATAGCACTCTCCCTCTCTATCGCTCGTCACGTCTCGTATCGTTGTTGTGTGTCTCCCCCTCACTGTCTCTCTCTCTCTCTCTATATATATATATATATATGTACATGTTCTCATACGCACCTCTCCGAGGGAGTAGAGCTCAGAGGCGATTAATGCGTATGCGCCGCGTCGTTCGCGATTTGTTTGGCCGTTCCGCAAGATTATGAAAATCGGTGGCACCCCCTCACACAGATCGTGACGTCAGGGTCCAAAAACACATTGAAACTTCAACATGTGAACAAAAAACCTTCAAACACACATTGAAATTTCAATGATTTTGACCCCGATTCTCAGAGAATGGCGGTTTCGCCTGAGACATCCTCCCACAATCGAGCCCCGACGTACCTTCTGGTACCCCAGACCCCGCCTCGGAGCCTCCTGGGGGCCTCCTGGAACCTCCTGGGGCCTCCTGGGGCTTTCTGTACCTTCTGGTACCCCAGACCCCGTCTCGGAGCCTACATGGGGCCTCCTGAAACCTCCTGGGGCCTCTTGGGGCCTCCTGCGGCCTCCTGGAGCCTCTTGGGGCCTCCCGGAGCCTCCTGGGGTCTCCTGGGGCCTCCTGAGGCCGCCCGGTGCCTCCTGGGGCCTCAGAACTACATGCACACACACACACACATACACACACACAGAGAGAGACACGAATCACACCCAGCACATCACACGCTAGCAAACATAATACACACAACACCTACGACGCACATAATACACGCACAGCAAAGAGCACACATCACAACCACCCACACAACACTCAAAACACTCACGATCTTAGATTATTCTGCATTCACCTCCTGCCTCTTCCCCTTCCCTTAGGCACGCCCTGGCGGCGCCGCCCCAGCTCCTGCTTCAAACGCCCTTTCAGTGTTTTTTGTATGAGCCTGGGTACACACGTGCCATGTGTATTATCTTGTCTCGTCTTTCCTCTCCCCTCTCCCCTCTCCTGTGTTTCCTTCTCTCTCTCTCTCTCTCCGCCCTCTCGTTCGCCTCCTCCTCCTCTTCCCTCTTCCTCCTCCTCCTCCTCTTCCTCCTCCACCTCTCTTCAAAACGAGGACCCAACACCGCAGGATGGCTCCTCTTTCTCCTCCTCCTTCTCCTCCTCCTCCTCCTCCGCCTCCTCCCACCCCCTCCGCCTCTTCCCCATTCGCCCCCTCCCGCCCCCGAGCTCCTCGCTTCTCCTCCTGGACAGGGCACTGTTCTCCAACCTCCCTTCCTGCCTTCCCTCCCACCAGGCCCTGTGGAAGAGGAGGATACAAGAGCAGGAGTGTAGGAGAAGGAAGAGAAATACATCCAGCCTGCTGTCTCCCTGATGTTCTCCTCTCTCGATTTCCCCTAGCATCCTCAGGTTCTATGCTCTGTCTCTCTCTCTCTCTCTCTCGCGCTCTCTATTTCTCTCGCTCTCCCTGTCTCTGCTGCCTGCACCCTGCCGTGCGTCGCCTCCCGCCCGAGGCTCCTGCCAATCCCGCGGGCCATGAGATCCGACGTCGCGAACAAATTGCAACGTCTCGCAAAACCGCGACTGTCGGCGGTGGACAAACCTCCCTTTAGTGAACCTCCCCTTAGTGAAAACGGCATCGCGAACCGAAAACAGCCAATTCCTTAATCGACGAGTCAGGGTAGGAGGTTTGTCCACCCCCGAGACTGGGGGCCCGGACCCCATCTTCTTGAGCCATCCATCTTCCGGGCCCGATCGCTCCGGGGAGGTCCCGGGGCCCGAAGCGGGGCGAGCACGCCCGCTGTGTAAAAACATTACGGCGCCAGGAGTCCGAAGGGGCGCGAGCCCGGGGCAAAGGTGGCACGCCCGGCAGGCGCGGGCAAGGCTACAGCCACGTCCAGTGCGTCCTGGGCGTTCTTGGAAAGGGGCGCCACGAGGCCGAGGCGCACAGGAGATGGACAGAACTCAAGCCACTGGGGGGCAACTTGGTCCATGTCCAGTGCGCCTCGGGCTTCTGGGGAAGGGAGCCCGAAACTCCATACGCGTCGGTCGGAAGAAGTAGGTCAAAACATGAAGTAGGAAGGCGGATGAAGCGATTGGGTCCAGGCCCCCGCAGAGAATAACAAAGCACAGCACAAGCACGCCGATTCTTGAAGCAGGAAGGCGCTTGAAGGGAGATTGGGATCTGGGAATCCAGGAATTCCTACTTTCAACGACCGGCGTGCATCCAGTGCGCCTCGGGCTTCTGGGGGAGGGAGCCCAACACTGCGGACACGGACACAAAGCGTGCCCGCAGCAGGCACGCTGTGGCTCCAGTGCCCGCCCGTGCTCGGCACCCGCCCGCGGCGCCACGCCACGCGCCGGGCCGCACCTGGGGGGTCGGAGGATCTCGCCGCATCGCCGACACATCGGCGACGCATCGCCGATGCATCGGCGATGCATCGGCGATGCTCTGGCGGCGGCGGTGATGCATCGGCGACGTCGGCGTGGAGAACATTCGGCCCCACATCGAGCTGCATCGCCGATGCATCGGCGATGCATCGCCGATGCATCGGCGATGCGGCGCGGTCCTCCGACCCCATCTACTCCGACCCCATCCAGGAGGCCCAGATGACTGCAAAGCGACATGGGCGAGTTGCGCAGGAAACACAAAGGAACCCCAGAGCAAGCGGAGGGCCCCGAGGAACAGCAGGAGGGAGGGGGGGGGGCGGCGGAGGCGGGGCCGTCCGGGACGCCGAAGCCGCTGCCGTCGGGCCCGACGAGGCGGGCCAGCGCACATCCGCGGCGCGGAGGAGCGAACGCGAAGCTTTTCCCTGGAGGAGCGTGCGGGCGATCACGCTCCGGGGAGAAGCGGAGGAGCGTGCGGAGGAGCTCCGACACCGAGCTCCGTGGCCGGCGAGGGCCTCTCTGGAAACCGAGAGGGGTCAGAGAGTGCGCTGCGCACTGGCCCTTCCCTCGGCTATGATCTCGCTCTCTGCTGGGGCACCCGTGGGGAAGAAGTGGGAAGAGGCACGAAGCACGAAGGTTTCGGTCGGGCATGTCCTCCTATACAGGCGGACTGTGGGCGGAAGCTTCCCCAATCCGTGCTCGCAATGAAGGGGTCCTGGCGGAAGTTGAAAGATTTGGCGAAAGTTTCCCGCCGATTCTGGTAGCAGGCTGGGTTCCCAGTTCCCGGTTCTGGGTTATTTCGGCGACACGTAAGCGTGACCCTAGGCAAGAGTGCCCTTTGGTGCGCGGCCGTAGGGGAGCCCGCGGGGGCCTGGCGCAACCGCGCAAGCCGAGGCCCTCGGATTGCATCAACGATCGGTGAGGCGCGCCCCGACAGATCCCTAGCGCCAGCAGGCAATTGCGGACCTCCGCCAATTCGTTCCTGGCGCCCCAGAACACCCGCCCGAGGGCTCTGCGAAGCCAGACGTAATCGGGCGCCACCGCGGAAAATTCTGGCACTGCTGGGCCGCATCGCGATGACGTCTGACCGGGTGCGGCGTCAAGGCCGAAACCGGGCCGAAACTTGGCCCCCCCGCGGCCGCAAATTACTTTCAATAGTAAAAAAAATGAATTGTAAAGCGCGAAATGCGAAAAATTATTCAAAGTTAGTCAAAGTTATTCCAGGACGATTTGGGACCGGTCCCAATGCGGAGAGCACGTCGCCCGCTCGACTGGGCCCCCCCTCGCCAAACGAAGCACGCGGCAGAATGCACCGTGCATGCCCGCGATCGATTGCGAAGGGCGCACCGTGAATCAAGCGCGCTCTGATGCGATCGCAGACTGGCGCAGCGTGCGCCGACGCGAGGCGGAGCGCACTCCTCGAGAAAATCTGCCCGACCCCATTAGGGCCAACACTAAAGGTCACTCTGGCAAAGGGTCACTCTTACGTGTAGCCGATTATTGGTTCCAGGCAGATTTCAGTGGGTTCTGGGTTCCCGGGCTACCCGTTTCCCGGTCGATCTCCCCAGCGGAGACCATCCACTGATTGGGGCGTTTCTTTGGTGTCGTAGGAAAAGATTCAAAGAATACTCCCGAATAGTCAAAAATAGTCCAAATATCGTCCCCATGATGTTTGAATCTTCCTCCTGTAGAGAGCCATGCCCGACTGAACGGAAGGCGGCTAAAGTAGGGTGGGCGCAGGCCCGCCCAGAGAAGCACACAACACAGCAGGAACAGATCGATGCTTCGATTAGGCAGGCGCTGGAGATAAATTTGGATCTGGAAGTCACGAAAAAACATACTTTCAACGACCGACGCGTACTGGATCCAGGGTTTCTGCAGTGGTGGCCACATGCTACGCGGCCTGGTGATTGATGCACGCGTGCACGAAGGTGCGAGCGCGCGCATGCCTGACCGAGGCCTCGGATCTAGAGGTTGTCGTGGCATGAGCCGAAGCAAAGTTCCACAATCAGTGCTTGCACTGAAGGGGTCCTAGCCGATACTGAAAGATTTGGCGAAAATTCTTGGGCCGATTTTGGTAGGCGGCCGGGTTCCCGGGTTCCTGGGTTCCTGGTTCCGGGTTCCCGGGTTCCCGGCTCGGGGTTCCAGGCCGATTTCGGTGGGCGGTTCCCAGGTTCCTGGTCGATCTCCTTATCGATCGGTCCCACCATCGATCTCATTAATCACCTCTCTATCCATCCCACTATCGATCTCACAATCGATCTCACGATCGATCTCACAATCGATCTCACTATAGATCGCACGAGCGATCTCACGACCGATCTCACTATCGATCCCATTGAATCGACTTCACCATCGGTCTCACGATCAACCTTACAATCGTCCTCACAATCGATTCCACGATGGATCTCACAATTGATCTCGGTATCCGTATCACGAATGTTCAAACGATCCACTGATTTGGCCTTTCTCTGATGTAATATACATCGTCGCACTCACAGTTCGAATTGCAGGTGCCAGCACAAGGCTCATCGCGATTCGCCCACCGTGGGTTCTCATGAACTGCTCCATCTGACGGCCGCTCCTATTCCCCCTCCTCCACGCGCCCGTCTCGCTCCGGAATGTGTGGCTATCTTACCATGGCGGGCTGGGCGCCGCCTCGGCGTGCAACCAGTCCGCGTCGCTGTAGCCGCCGATGATGGCGCCCAGAGGACCGCCAAGAACCTCCAGCTGGCAACCTGCCAGGGGAAGAAGGGGGGCGGGGGAGCAAGCTGTTCCAACCCGAACACCTGGCCATATCACATGATCTGGGACCTCAGGGCCCCAGGACGGGGTGATGCCGGGAGAGTGAACAAAAAGAGAGCGTGCACGCGATGCGAGTGGGCACCCTGCGTGGTGGTGAGATGGCACCCAGCTGGAGCGAGAGTGGGGCGACACATTCACGCATGCAGCTCTAGCCCAGATCTGTGATGATCTGACGTGGGCGCTGTTGTGTTCGAACGCACGCCGACGTCCCTGCCGTAGACGTTGCGTGGTGGAAGCTGGAATGTCCTCATAATTCGCCCCGCCCCCCGTCTCCTCCATCTGCTCACTGTCGTCAGATAGGGCCGTTCAGCATCGCCGTCAGAAAACGCTTCCAGCCACCCAACCCACTCGTCTGCCACGCACGCCCGACACGAGCCAGACCAAACACACTTAATCAAGCTATTCACTCAGGTCGTTCCGCGCTCCGTGACTTTATCCGCCCCCGCATTTTGAAATGGCCGGCGTGCCAAACCCTATCATGACTACAAGAGTAGGCTCGCTGAGTGGATGCCAAAAGGTACCATCCTGACGAACGAGATCTCACAGTTCCGGTTTCGCCCGTCCACGGAGGAAGCCGGCTCGGTGTACTCTGTCCACGCATGAGTCGGGGGGCTCCTGGGGAGACGACAAGGTCCCTATACCGCTACTCCCCAGACCTCTTCCGGGGTGCGTTCTGACCAGGATTTCGAGGCGAATCCAGCGCTGGCAACGAAGGCCTCCCAGGAGGCTCAAAAAGGGAGAAATGTTGGAAGGGTAGAGGTATGGGTACCTTGTCCTCCTCTGAGCTCCAGAGACAGACCACCCCCCAAGCGCCAGATCAACCCCCAAGACAGGCTTCAAAAGCTTCAAGCTTCTCGAGGGTGTCCGAGGGGGTCGCACGGCCTGCACGGCAGCAGGACAACTTTCCCCCAGAGCGCTCGCAAGAGAGAGAGAGAGAGACAGAGCGGGCCATAGCGGCGGAGAGCCACGCGCCCAACGAGACAGAAGACCATGCAGGCACGAAGATAGCATTGGGCATGCCAAAGAGTTCTGGTACTGCTACTCCACGGGCCTCTACCAGCGTGCGTTCTGAGCAAGAGTTTCGGGTCGAATCCAGCAGTGGCGACGAGGGCCTCCCAGGAGGCCCAATAAGGCCAAGACGAGGCAAGGGTAGCGGTATGGGTACCTGTTCCTCCTCTGAAGGTCACGTGAGCAGACGTGTACCGACTGAGCCTGCAGGGGAGACAGAGCGTGCGCGCGCTGGCAGAAAGGAAGAGACGCCACCGCTGGCCAACTTGAAGTTCGAGAGCACGGTCAATGCCCGATCCTGGCCAGTGAACCGCAGCAGCCATGCAAAAACAGCAGCATCTGCGCACCACTCTCTCGCCTGGCGCTGTGTCATACCCTGACCTTTCCCTTTGACCCTCACGCGCACGGGGCATGGGCAAGACGAACACCCTGCACAGACACCCACCGATGACAAAACAAAAGGGAAGCCCTGTCGCAGGTGGGGAACCGAAAGGTACCGATACCGCCACTCCCCGGACCTTTCCTGGGGTGCGTTCTGACCCGAATTACGAAGCGAATCCAGCGGTGGCGACGGGGGCCACAAAGGAGTTTCAGAAAGGGAAAAAACATGGAAAGGTAGCGGTATGGGTGCCTTGACCTCCTCTGAGCAGGTGCCTGTAGCGACGATGCACGTCGAAGCAGCAGCGCGCGCGGTCGGAAACTCCGATCGTGTGGACTCCCCCTGGCTTGCCTCGATGCCCACCAGGAACTTCTTGGAGCCCCGGAGCCGTGCGGTGACGGACCGTGCGGCGACCTCGACCCCCCCCCCAACACCTCACTGCACGGTCCGTCACCGCACGGCTTTGGGACCCTGGAGGCCCCTGCCGCTCGAGGCATCCTCGGAGAGGGACTCGAGTCCAAAAACCGTGCGGAGACCCTAAAACAGGGCCAGGATCGGGATAAATCACTCCAGAGCGTTCCGGAGCTCTCTCAGAGCGTTCCGGAACGCTCTGGAGCGGCCGCGGCGCCCAATACATCCTCCAAACCCGCCGATTCTCAGAGATTTCGAGTTATCCCGATCCGATTTTGTCCCGATCTTCGCGTCGTTTTAGACCCCGAATCCCCACCGACTCACCACGCGGTGTGGTCACCGCACCGTCTGCCTGGGGGCCCCCAGAACCTGCACGGGGTCCCACCGCTGGCCGGCTCCACGCGCACGGAGGCCCCGTGTCCCTCGCTCGTTGCCGGCGGGCGCAGCCCATCGAGCAGCTCTCGACGACGACGACGACGACTGCGACAACGACGACGGAGACGACTGCGACGACGACGACGACGACGACGGCGTCGACGATGACGACGGCGAGCACGGCGACGACGACTGCGACGACGACGACACTCGAGCAATGCAGAAGGCCCCGTCGCCTGCAAGCTCTGCCCCTCACAGAGCGCAGGGGCTTCGCAGAACTCTCATGACTGGGCCTGTTGTCCACCAACGCCACCACCATACGTTGGATGGGGGGAAGGAGGAGGACGAGGAGGAGGAGGAGGACGAAGAGGATGAGGAGGAGGAGGAGGAGGAGGAGGAGGAGGAGGAGGACACCCTCCCCCTCCAACTTATAATGGCGGCGGTGGAAAACAGGCCCATCATCTCAACCCTGTCGGAGCGCAACTTGCTCCATGGGTCCTGTTTTCGGGGGCGGCGATGGGGGTGAATAGGCCAGGGGGGAGCGATACATGTAGTTATCGAGGGGCGCTGATGGTCCATGCCTTCGGCGAGGCTCCCGGGCGAATTCGTGGAATGCCCGCCCCTGGGCTACTCGCCCCTGTTGTCGCCTCCTATGCTTTGGCGTTGTTTTGGTCTCCTCCCGCCCCACAGCCTTTGCGCCAACGACAACACGCCAGGCGATCTTATGAGCAAACGTAACAGCGTGCGGGACACGACCTAGATGATGATGACGATGATGAGGATGATGAGGATGATGATGATGATGAGGATGATGAGGATAATGATGATGATGATGATGATGATGATGATGATGATGATGATGATGGTGATGATGATGATGATGATGATGATGATGATGAGGATGATGACGATGAAGAAAGGAGAGCGGGATTAGGGGAAACAAATACCCCGCCTACTCTCCTGATTCTCCCTCTTCCTCCTCCGCCTCGTCGGTGTTCCAGGTCGGGCCCAGGAGTTTCGACGACCCGAGCCAGAAGCGGCGCGGCATGGTCCCCCTCGTGCCCCTCGACGAGCGCAGTGCCACTTCGACAAAAAGGACATGAGCGCATCTCGCAAGCTCCGAAGATAAAGTCAAAATGCGATAGACTAGGTTTCGTCTGCCTCACACATTGCGCTGTCCTTCTCTCTCTCGCCTCCCTCTTCAATCCCCTCCTTGCCCCTCCTCCGCCCTCCCCTTCCCCTCTTCATCACACTCCCGACGCCAATCAAACCCTGGCCAAGTCTCCCAGCACACAATCCGTGCCAATCCCGACAACAGTAATTCGATCACTAAGGCACAGGAAACTCAGTGCAGAGAGATCGGCAGATGGCTCCAGCACCACCTGGGAGCACTGTGGGCCCGAGGTGTCGCCGATCAGCCAGCGTCGCACCTTGAGGGAGTCTGTGGGCAGGGGAGGATGAAGAGGTCGAGACATACATCTACGCAGATGTCAATGTATAGTGATATGTGCATATGGGTGAATCTAAACATATGTATACGTATGTGTATATATACAGGAGACGAGACATCATACTCTCGAGGGAGATATAGAGAAAGAGAGGGATAGAGAGAGCTGGATAGAGGAAGCGAGAGGTACACATTTGAACACCGGGCAAACAAACCATAACGCTAGGTATATATATATATATATAGATATCACGAGATCGACACAGGTTGACAGACGTGACAAGATAATGATCTACTTATAGTGGCGCTTATATGATACGTTTGGGGGTTCGGAGATGGAGAAAGAGAGAGAGGGAGAGCAGGGCGAAGAGGGGATGGACACACTCACACACCTATGTGTATATTTATAAATAGATGCAAATGAAACTGCGACAAAACAACGCGATGCATGACGATACTATTGTGGTGTAGCTACGTTACGATATACATGCGTGCATTCAAACATAGCGCTAGCTGGCGAGAGAAAGAGAGAAATAACCAAATAACCGAACCGACATGTTCGAGTCCGTGTCCGTGTCGTGCGCAACGTGCGTGCAGGCGAAGCGACGCGGCCTGGGCGTTGTCTTGTGGATCGGGATGGTTGTCCCGCCGTTCGTGGCTCTGTTTGCCCTCGATTTCATGCCGAACGTCACACTTGTCGAACAGTTGTCCCGCGCTTGTTCTGGTCTGGTTTCCCCGGTAGTCCCGATAATTGCCCCGATGGTTGTCCCAATAATGGTCTCATGGCGGTCCCGCGGATGTCCTGCGGTTGTCCCGTGTCCCGTGCTTGTCGTGTGGTTTTCGCGCGGTTGTCCCGTGAATGCACCGTCGTTGTCCAATCGTTGTCCAATATGTCCCGTAATTGTCGTGTGGTTGCCCGCGGGTCGCCCGTGGTGACGGCATCATGAAAAAAAACACAAGACATCGATGTTTTGAAATCGTGGTGGGCTTGTTGGCACTATTCCCAAGCATCCTGTTGTGTTGGTTTCTCGTTTTGAAGAGACAGGGCCCCGCGTCCCTCACTCCTTCCTCCTCCCCCTCCTCCCTCCTCCCACTCCTTGCCTCTGCCCTCCACGCCCCATGTCGGCACACCCCTCACACGCTTCGTTGCCCCATAGGGAGCTCCACGGAAGGCCCCAGTGGCTCTGACCACCTGCGTCCTGCGCCACCCAGTACGTCCTTTCGTGGCCGCATAGGGAGCTCCACCGAAGGCCCCAATGGCTGTGACCACATGCGTCCCGCGCCACCCATTGCGGAGTTCCGTGGCCCATAGGGAGCTCCACCGAAGGCCCCTGTGGCTTTGATTGCATGCGTCCCGCGCCACCCAATGCGGCCGATCGTGGCCCCATAAGAAGCTCCAACGAAGGCCCCAGTGGCTACGACCACATGCGTCCCGCGCCACCCAATAGTACGGCCTGTCGTGGCCCCATCGGGAGCTCCACCGTAGGCCTCAGTGCCTGTGACCCGTCCCGCGCGACCCAGTAGTACTGCCTGTCGTGGCCCCATAGGGAGCTCCAACGACAGCTCCAGCGGTCAGCGCCGCCGCGGCCAAACCAGCTGGCCGCTGCGCGCGCGAGCATGCGCGGGCTAGCGCGGCCGCGTGGATGCACCAGCCAACGCCAAGCATTCATCGCAATCGCCGCCGCATGGGCTTATGCAAACCAAGTTGAGGGCGGATGGGCGAGATAATTGCGCGAGCAGTGGAGTTGGCAACTCACTGCTAACATAACTTGTTAGCACCACGTAGCTTGCACCACATAGCTTGCACCGCGTAGCTTGCACCACGTATAATTCACCGCACATCTTGCGCCACATAGCTTGCGCCACTTAGCTTGCGCCACATGGGTGCGCCACGTGGATTGCACCACATATCTTGCACCACAGAGCTCGCAGATCATCCACAATGCAATAACTGCTTAGGGGGCCGGAACACCGAAGGATCAAGCATCAACCGCTCGGTGTTTGCGGAAGGCTCGGAGTTCTGGGCCCGAGGACGAAGGCGTCGGTGGAGAACCAAAGAGGTACCACTACCGCGGCCCCCGCCCCCCCCCAGCCAACCCCTCCTCCTCCTCCTCCTCCTCCTCCTCCTCCTCCTCCTCCTCCTGGTCCTCCTCCTCTTCCTCCTCCCCCTCCCTCCTCCGCCTTCCTCCTGACCCGAACCTCGCGGCGCATCCAGCCGCGGGGTGTCGGGGGCCTCCCGGGCCGGCCCCAAAGAGACGAGGAGAACGAGGAAAGGCCAGCAGCACATCGGTTCCCCTGTGGATGCTACGACAGCGTACACCCTGACATCCCGATCGTTTAATTGAAAAACATGTGCATAAAAAGTGTGAACCATGTCTAACCATATGTGAGCCATGGTTATTGCATGCTTACGGCATGCTTTAACACATGTTCAAGACATCTGGACACTATTTGGCAACATGTTTCCTCTCCATAGATCGTCGTCGTTAGATCGGGCATACACTCAAAACTTATGCTAAGAAATCTTCCAGTAAGAAATTGAGACACAGCTTCGCTGAATTTCTTAGCCCCCTAGCCAGCTTTGAAACGTGCAATTTCTTAGCGCAGCGCGACGCCAGTGTGGGTGGTTCCGATGAAGATTGTGCCGGTGATTGTGCCGATTGCGGCGCCGGGGGCTCTGCAGCAAACATCATACAGGAACACGTCAAGATCTGGGCGGGGATCTGGGTGGTGATCTGGGGGAATATCCGGGGGAACAGCCAGAGCAAAATCCGGGAGGCGATCTATGGAAATCCGGAAGAAGATCTGGGGGAAGATGCGGAGGAAAATCTGGGGAAATATCTGCAGGAGCATATGAAGGGAGATCTGGGGGAGTATTTGGATGAACACACGGGGAACAAGCTAGAGGAAGATCTCGATGAAGATCTGGAGGAAGATCTGGAGGAAGATCTGGAGGAAAATCTGGAGGAAGATCTGGAGGAAGATCTCGGGGAACCTCTGGAGAAAGATCTGGAGGAAGATCTGGAGGAAGATCTGGAAGAAGAGCTGGATGAAGATCTGGAGGAAGGTGTGGAGGAAGATCTGGAGGAAGATCTGGAGAAAGATCTGGAGGAAAATCTGGAGGAAAATCTGGAGGAAGATCTGGAGGAAGATCTGGAGGAAGATCTAGAGGAAGATCTGGAGGAAGATCTGGAGGAAGATCTGGAGGAAAATCTGGGGGAAGATCTGGAGGAAGATCTGGAGGAAAATCTGGAGGAAGATCTGGAGGAAGATCTGGAGGAAGATCTGGGGGAAGATCTGGAGGAAGATCTGGAGGAAAATCTGGAGGAAGAGATCTGGAGGAAGAGTTCTGGAGGAAGATCTGGAGGAAGATCTGGAGGAAAATCTGGAGAAAGATCTGGAGGAAGATCCGGAGGAAGATCTCGAGGAAGATGGAAGTGGACATGGGGGAAAATTTGAAACGACGATCTGGGAAAAGATCGTGAGGAAGATCTGGAGGAAACTCGGGCGAGATGTGTGAAGATATGGAAGAGGATCTGCGGGGAGATCTAAAGAAAGATCACGCAAGCGGGAGGAAGATCTGGAGGAAAATCTGGAGGAAGATCTGGAGGAATCAGGAGGAAAATCTGGAGAACGATCAGGAGGAAGATCTGGAGAAAGATCTGGCGGAAGATCTGGAGGAACATCTTGAGGAAGATTTGGAGGAAGATCTGGAAGAGGAGCTGGATGAAGATCTGGAGGAAAATCTGGAGGGAGATCTGGAGGAAGATCCGGAGGATGATCTGGAGGAAGATCTGGAGGAACATCTGGAAGAATATCTGGAGGGAGATCTGGAGGAAGATCTGGAAGAAGATCTGGAGGAACATCTGGAGGAAGACCTGGAGGAAAATCTGGAGGAATATCTGGAGGAATATCTGGAGGAAGATCTCGATGAAGATCTGGAGGGGGATCTGGAGGAAGATCCGGATGAAGATCCGATTGAATCCAGGGAGATGATTTGGGCGAAGATCAGGGGGGAATATCTGGAACAATATATGATGGAGGAAGATCTGGGAGGAAGATCTGCGATGAAGATCTGAGAGGAAGATCTGGGAGGAAGATCTGGGAGGAAGATCTGGGTGAATATCTGGGGGAATATCTGGGAGGAAGATCTGGAGGGAAGATCCGGTGAAGATCTGGGAGGAAGATCTGGAGGAAGATCTGGAAGAAGATATGATGGATATGCAAGTGGCTCTGTTGGTGGTTGCGCTGGTCTCTGTGCTGTCGGTCGTGCTGCTCGTTTTGATGGTGGTTTCGCTGGTGACGATTTTGCTGGTGATGGCGCTGCTAGTTGCGATAATGGTTGCGCTCGTGGTGGTGGTGGTTGCGATGGTATTTCTGCCACAAGTTTTGCTGGAGAGGCGGATGGTGATTTGGCTGGGGATTCTGCTGGCACGCTGGCGGAGGAAACACCCAGTGGATAAAGTGCTGGTGCGTTGGCGGAGATTTCGAATACATTTCTTTGTTAATACTTGCGCCGGTGGTTTTGCTGGACATGTTGCTGGTGGTCGCGTTGTTCATGTTGCTGGTGATTCTGCTGGTGCTGGAGGAAGATCCGGAGGAAGATCTGGAGGAAGATCTGGAGGAAGATCTGGGGGAAGATCTGGAGGAAGATTTGGGGGAAGATCTGGAGGAAGATCTGGAGGAAGATCTGAAGGAAGATCTGGAGGAAGATCTGGAGGAAGATCTGGAGGAAGATTTTTGGGAAGATCTGGAGGAAGATCTGGAGGAAGATCTGGAGGAAAATCTGGAGGAAAATCTGGAAGAAGATCTGGAGGAAAATCTGGAGGAAGATCTGGAGGAAGATCTGGAGGATGATCTGGAGGAAGATCTGGAGGAAGATCTGGAGGAAGATCTGGAGGAAGATCTGGGGGAAGATCTGGGGGAAGATCTGGAGAAAGATCAGGGGAAAGATCTGGTGAAAGAGCTGCGTGGCGACCCGGA